CAAAGAATGAGGCACGCCATAGTTTTGAAGTAGTTCCTAAATTATTTATCGGTCAATGCTATCTGTTGTAGTACTTTTCAAAGTCGATCAAGTTGAGGTAGAGGTTTGACTGACATTCTATGCTTTGGTCTATGATGACGACGCACAAAGTTGTAATTCGATCAGCATATGATTTGCCTTTCCTGAATCTAGCTTATTCTGGCATGACGAATTTCTGTATGCAGTGCATCTTTTATTCTCTCCAGGATGATGCCACTTAGTACTTTACTTGGCGTGGACAAGAGCATAATTCCACGCCATTTCTTTGCACAGGCCTAAGTCGCCTTGCTTTCGCAGCTTGACAAGGTAGCCAGCGTTTATCCCAGTCAGTAGGTACCTTTCCTTCTTTGCAAAACTTTGCAATAATGGCTTAAGCACACCTATCGTAGTCTCTGGGTCCGTTTGCAGTGCTTTAGAGTGAGGAAAAACCGTCTGCCCTCCTGCCTTTCCAGATTAAGAATTTTTCCTTTCGTTGGAGGATTGGTATCCACTGGCAGTTCTATGCCAATTGCAGCTGGTGGTATGTCTGAGGGAGTTGCAGGTGATGGTTGCGTCAAAAGTCCTGTAAAGTAATCAGCTTATTGTTTTATTTGTACCTCCTCCTTGGTAATCAGGTTCCCTTGAGCACCTTTTATTGGTTTCATCATCTGGGTTGATCTTTTTTAGAATGGAGACCTGCTTATTTGATATAATGTCTTTAGTTCTATTTTACCTGCCACCTACCTGTTCTGCTTCAGTCGCCAGTGTGTCGTAGAATTCTCTTTTGTCTTTTCTAGCACTCATCTTCATTTCTTTATTCAGTGTAGTGTACAGAGAACTCAGCTTCTCCTTCTGTTGACCATCTTTGTATTCAGTCACCTGCTCTTTCACCATCCTCCTCTTATCTCTTCTGTTGGCTTCCAGTTATCCGTTGAGAGCCATTCCTTGTCTTACCACTTCTTTATTCCTAAAGCACTTGTGCAAGGTTCCTTTAATATCGCCTTCACAGAGTCCTTATGTTCTTCTACACAAACATCCTAAGTGATCCCACGAAGTGTCTACGACTTTGCTCTGATGCAATGTATGCAGGAGGCATCACTTGTAGTTTTGTTTTTCAGTTTTTGACTGTTGAATATGAAGTGTGGCCTGTCTCCACTTGTGTTGAGGGATTTCAGCTTCACCTTGAAAGGTCCTTGAACTAGATGATGGTCTTAGCAAGCCCACATCTGCTCCCTCGCTCATGAATTTTGGAAGAATTTATGGGAGGCCGATTGTTTTTATTAAATTATTTTCAGTGATCTGATATTTCAGATAAAAAGTTAAGTAGTTCGTTTGATAACTCAAAGAAATAATGAAAACACTGGAAAAGTCCCACAAGCACCAGACGAAGATGAACAAAACATACCTTATACAGAAAAGATGTTATTATTTAAAAGTTGGGAAATCTATATAAGGCCGTTAATTTTAAAACTGTTCATCTTATTTTGAGATGAAACATATTTATTCTGTCTTCAATAGTCTATTTAAACCAAGTAAGAACGAACAACTTCCCTGGATAATATGAAGTTATCTTACTTCTCAGATTCTTTTCAATAGCACTTGCAGTATGAATTACTTAGAAGGGACTGCAAAGGCCAAACGTCTACTAGATTTTGCAAACATATCCCTGAGACGTCTTTGCATGAAAAGCAGCAAGTTGTCGTCATGTGTAATTGCCAGAAACCTGTCAACGCAATGAAATTCTTATTAGTTTCGTGATCCGTATCCATAAGGTGTGTCAGTAGGGAACTTTTGATCGACTTGATAATTCTTTAGCCTAACCACATTGGACAGCACTCAAAAAGGCGACATTGGGCTTGGCGAGTCATTCAACTTATGTGACCATCCCCACAAGAACAGTTAAATTTGTAAGTACACACTGAATTGGTCAGACCTGGTAGCTAATCCTTCACCTGCAATGGAAGTGTACAACAAGTGATGAATTTAAAAACATAGTGTTGTGGCAATGAAATGTAGCTATTATTTTTCGGAGTCTATGTCATATATATATATATATATATATATATATATATATATATATACTTTAAAACAATTGGTTCACTTCATGAATTTGGACAGAGTGATAAGAAGACGTAATTTATATGTCTGAATCGTGTAATAAGAGGTGAGAAAATAAATTCAGGCCAAGCTAAAGAGGAATTATTGAAGGTGAAAATAACAATGAAGATCACTAGACCAAATAAGAGAGGTGATAGTACATCTTCCCTGCCTGGTATCAATACAAAGTTTCGACAGCACATCAAGAAGGCGTAGTTTATCCAAAACGTGTGATGGATTTGCTCAACACATTTCGGACATTCTAATCACACACGCGCCCTTGTCATACACAGTTTTTATAAAAGGCAAGAAGGCATGAATAATTGCAATACAGGTAAAATTGTGTACAGGTCAAGGTCATAAATAATGGGTAAGGAGACGCGAAGGTGTGTGTAAGAAAGAAAGAAAAAAAGAACAAAGCAAAAAAGAAGGGGTTGAAAATATTATAATGTAAATTGATCCTTGGTTCTAAATTGAATTACCAAGGCAGGTTTAAAGTAATAAAAAAAATATCTTTTGGACACATAAGACAGGTTGAAGTCTTTTTAAGGCTAAGGCTTCAAAGAATTTAGGTGTATGGCCCAACCTTGTTTTATATATGATCTTAAAGGCATTGTTGAAATCAGCCTTATGACCGGTCTCTATAATGTGCTTCACTGTAGATGATGTTGGACATCTATTTCATGGGTAAATTTTGTCTGGCGATTATATTTGTTGTTGAAGTCACTTTAGAATGTGTTCTGTAGCCCTAACCTACAGAGACCGATAGGTCCTCCTGATGTACGTGTCTCCACACATACATGTAAATTGATAAACAAAAAAAGGGATGTGACGCTATCGTTAGGATAATGTGAGGGTTTACTGGACAGTGTAGTTCTCGTTTTCTCTATGAGGATACATTTAGCTGCATAATAGGTTCTATTAATTGCGGCTTTGAGTCTTTGTCTAGTGACCAGACTTTGTTGATTACCGATGAATGGCAAGAATATGTAAACATCTGTTTTTAAGGAGCTGACTGAATTGGTACAGCTCTATGGTTTATCAAGGAGGGTTAAGTGTGATGACGAATTGTTCTTTTGAACGCATAAAGGTGGTATAAGCTTCCTAATTGCCAGCTAAAGCTTCTACAAACTAAAGGACTTTTACGCATTTTTTAAGCTTATCTATGAAATATGTTTGGGGGAGAGCGGATCCTAAAGTTTGTGGAATCCTTAGCTGGCAACTGGAAAGTTTAAACCACCCTTGTGCATTCAAAACAACAATTCGTTATCACACTTAACCTTCCTTGGTAAACTTTATCTTGATACCATATTATTATTATATTATTATTTCCTTTAATTACTAAACGAACATAGGGCTTCAGCTGCACGTCTGCATAGCGTTCAGCTCTCTGCTAAAGTTTTCACCTGGCACCAGGTCTGCCCACATGCTTTCATTTCCTCTGCACATGAACTCTTCCATGTCGCCCTCGCACTGACGACCAACTCACCGCTTCCCTTTCGGGTTTCACTCGAGCAATGGCTTGTCTAGTGACGTAACTTGATGGTTTCCTAAGAGTATGGCCAGTCCAATTCACCTCCATTTCTTTCTGCTTATTTTTTGCACAATCGGTTCCTGGTTGGTTTGCTCATTGCCAGAGATCCCTGTTGCTGAACATTTCTGGCCGACCATCTGATCGTGACAGCTGGCTGTTAATGAAGGTCTGTAGTTTGTTAGATATGCTCTTTATGACGCGCCAAGTCTCAGATTCGTATAGTAAGTGGCACTGACTTCATACTGGAGTTCAAAATCCGGATATTCTTTTTGATGCTGAGTGCTGTTGACCTCCACACAGACTTAAGAGTAATGAAACCTTGTCTTACTTTCCTGATCCTTTCTTTGATATCCTCGTCAGTTCCGTCCGCTTGTAGTTGAAACGATGCTTCCCATGTCAGTGGGTGAAGGAGGTTGTTTCTTTGAGGGTTATTCCATTTATGCTGATTGTTGTCTGTTGTTGTTTCTGTTGCTTGATACCACAGTCGATGTATTATTACCTCTCTTACTTAGTTTAGTGATCGTCAATGTTGTTTTGATCTCCAATCTGTCTTTTTAAGTTGACCTGAATTTATTTTTTCACCTCTTTAGTCTTTGTTAATTTCATATAATTATATATATATATATATATATATATATATATATATGCGTCTTTTATGCACAGTCTGAAGGCATTCCTCTCTATCTGTTCTTATCATACAGACTTTAACAAATATTTTTGGATATCTGTTCCCATATGATAAGGTTTCCATTTTTCTTAATTCAACGCGAAGAGTCTCGGATTGAGCAGATTTTTCCAGCACGAAATATCACAGCACCTATTAGATTTCGTTTATATACAATAGGAACAAACGATCTAAACTGGGTGTTGGCGAACTTACTTAATACTGCCATCTTTGTCTTTTTGCTATCAGGATATCAAGACAATGATAAAGCATTGTGTTTCGCTGTTTCGTATGCGTACTCAGTTTGAGCGTGAGCCACAGTGAAGAGTTTCCACGAGAACTTCGGTATCGGATTGCCCACCGACTGAAGAAGATGTATGCGGTTTTGTACAACGACTTTTTTTAATGCTCTGAAGAATTAGAGGTGAAGAGATTTCGTGAAATAAGCTGAAAAATTTGACTGTTTGTCAAATTTACATTCTGACAGAACTCGTATCATCATAATCAAAAACTTGTAAACTGATCCAAAATACACGGAGGCTGAAAAAACAAACACACAGAAACACTTTGACATTAATTTCTCTCTGTCAATTTTTTAAGATTAACCAAAATGTTAACTAATTAATTAATTAATTATTTAATTAGTAGCATAAAAGATAATGTCACCTGGTACTTTATTTACTCAATTGTGCCTACACAGTGAATACATTGTTTTTTTAAAGAAACATGTAATGGCGTAATGAAAAACAAAATCTACGTGTAAGTAAGTTGGTAAATACACGGTTTCTAGGACTATAAATACACATGTAATGCAAAAAGCATGGACTTCAAGTCACTATCAGTGTTAACTTAAAACAGAATGAGTTCTGCATACATGTTTTTCTTCATTCTCGTTAGTTTGTTTGTCATATGCCAAGAAACTGAGGCCGGAAACGGTAAGTTACTACGTTTTAGTCATTTTCATGACCATTTAACTGATCCACATACTTGACTTGAATAGAATTATCGAAAGAGATTTTAGGTGGCATCATTTCATAATTCGGGCTGATAAATACTATAATATCTGATCCCTAAGAAAAGAATGACACTTTTATAAGTTACTGTTTGATTGAAGTGTTTTAATAGTACTCATGAGAGGAGGTTCACAAAAGAACAACTATGTTTTATACTGTATTTTGTTAATTTGTCTACTCCCATACATTTCCCATCTTGGTTAAGTTAAGACACCTTTAACCTTCTTGAAATCACTTCATGAACTTTACATCTTTGTCCAGTTGGCCTATGATTTCCATTATAGATAAGATTTTATTTTTTATTGAAGTGAATTTGTGATTTTCCCGTCGATTGATTGAACCGAAGTGCTCGGTCTCAGGTTGACATATCGGCGGCTTCTTGTGCAGATGCTTCGACGATGTCTGGGCATTTAATGAGTATTCAATTAGTGGATGGTGACTAGCAGTGGAATCCAGGATAACGCGCATTTCGTCCTATTTGGGACTCGTCAACTGGTTGTACCTGCATTTCTCAGTGAGTGATGATGTTCCCACCGAGGCTCAAACCCAGTACCCATAGTTTCAAACGCCAAAGCTTTATCCACTAGACCACTTGGGCCACGAAAGCCACCTCTTGTGCAAGATTTTATTTTGATAAAGTCTCACAGTGTTGTGATACTGTATGTAATATTTAGTAATGACAAGGTTTCCAGCACAAATTATTACTGCTCGTAATAATATCAAGGCACTACTCACACAACTATCTTGCTTCATTCATATACATGAGTAAAGATTGATTAGACATCTGAATTGAATCCCTATAGGATAACATACATTCAGAAATAATAATACGTGTGTTATCAATCAAATACAATCAGATGGGAAATAAGATGTTTTATAGTGAAATAAATAAGCAACTTGTTAGAATGTCATAATATGAGTTGAAGACATTTCAACATTATTTTTTATCCTCTGATTTGACTGCTGGTAATCATATGCTCCATATCTCTGGTATTTGCGTTGAGTCACTTCGATTGCATGTGTTGTGTTGGATGCAGATTGTTCAATGAGCCAGGATTCAATAATTAATCTCTGCCTTTACCTACACTTATTACTGTGAAGAATTTTGACTCTGTCATACTTACCCTACTTTTTTGGTTGTGTGTTAACGGATGCAGTGTGATCGCTGAGCTTTTTTTCCTGAATTACTTTTCTTCCCGGGTGGGGTGAATCATTCTATACTTAACTAAATTTTTACGAGTTGATGACGGATTAATATCAGTTGGAGAAACATTGAAAACCAGGGAGTACGGGACAACTGCTGTTTCATCCTAGCTTGGGAATCATCGTCAGTATGCATTCACTGGGATTCGAACTCAGGACCTTCCGGTTACATGGCAAGCTCGTATACCTTCAGCCACTGGGACCCGATTCAATGGCTCGTCAATTCTAACTTCTACCAATTCGTGATTTAGCGCGACCCCAACCATTAACGTTGGTGAGACATTCATCCACATACGTGGCATCTAATTGGACCTCACTGGTCATGACTTCTCACTAGAACTCAGTAAACTCCAACCTGTAGTAAGTTACTAGAGAGCATCAGATTAATTTTCTATAGTTTGGTTTGTAAGGGTTTGAATCCCAGTGGGCGCGTACTGCCGATGATTCCCAAACTAGATGAAACAGCAGCTGTCCAATACTCCCTGGTTTTCAATGGTTCTCTAACTGATATCAATCCGTGATCAACTCGTAAAAACATAACAAACCCTTACAAACCAAACTATAGAAACTTAACTAAATTCTTGTTTTCTGATAATCTCACTACTCCTGATCTACTGGTTTGACCTATGTAGTTGACTTAATAACTCACAGGGATTGCAAGGTATTTTGTAAATGATATTATTTTCTTTAATTGGCCTATGAATCATTAAATGCATACAATGAATATGATGTGATATATTTAATGTGAGTTTTATAACCTTAGATTGACTATTTCAATCATCGCTCAAATCTGACCACTTATCAGGTGTATTTTCCTTAGCCTGTTAATCATTTTTTTTGGTTATATTTTTAACATTTTTTTACTCGAAAGAATCATTACTTACAAGTTTTTAATAAATTTATTAAAACGTATTCTCTTTTAGTGCTCCGTGGAAGTGGAGAGGCTTGTAAGTTAAATTGCAAACTACTTATTCATTTATCAGTAGAATAAATAGTTTTTGTGTATTAAATCTAGTGTATTACATCCGAGTGCAATTATTTTAGTTGCCGCGTGCTTGAGAAAGTTTCTACTGGTCTAAGCAGAATTACCCCATTGTTTCGAGTGGAACAAATGGCTTCAGAAGCAGTTCTCCTTTTTAAACAGTCTAATGCAATCCTCCATACCTAATAACCTTCCTCAAATACCCAGCTCATTGCCTCCGATTCCGCTTCCATTCAAGGGCACACCCGGTGCGGAACTTGATGTTCTTCCGGTACATAGGTATTTTCTTCGGCATGTTTTTTGGAAACGGATCTTCAGTTAGTTCATTGTCTTATGCATTTCTTTCTTCTTGATCTCTTCTGTTCAGCTATCTGATCTCCAGAATGGGGAGAAATAGCTGTTGATAACATTAGGTCCACTAACTCACAACACAACGGCATATATCACCAAAACTATCAGTTAATTATTTGTTATTTCAAGTTTTGATCACAAACTGATTTTAGTCGAAAATCACTGAAAACCGGGTTAATCTTGAACAGATGATTCACCTCAATGTGTAAGCCTTCATCAGTTCGTACTTATGATACCACCAGGGATCAGTCTCTAGACATTCAGGTTACAAGACGAGCTCGTCAGCGAACCTAACACTTGTAAATTATTTGTTAATAATAAGCGGTTTAATTAGAATATGTTAGTGTAATACGTTCAAAATATATTGTAAATAGGTATACACCTTGGCTCTCATAAGCTTACGTTATAATCGTGTCTGTCAGAACGGTTGGAGGCTATGATTTATTTGGGAGAATATACTATTCATCAGTCTAGAAATGATGAGTCCTATGTTCTTTTGAAGGCCTCACAACAGCCATCATATCGCATAAGAAGTATTTTGAACTTTGAACCAAACTGATCAATCTTACTGTGGTGTATATGCTTCTACAACCTTTAATTCCATGGTTGTTGTCTAAAACTTCAAATGTGTAGACCATCGATAATTAGGATTGAAGACATATCCTACTGGTAAGTCTTCATTAGAACGAAAAATAAGTTACATTCAAACCGCTCATACCCCATGGTGTTAACATGTTCCGTTCAGATAAGTTAACAGAAAGCCTATTAAACACGTACACATTGTTTAGATACACAGTGTTTTACGCACACCATCATTCCCCAATCTAATCAGTCCATCTATTTCATCACTAAACAAAGCAAATGAGAGTAAGTTACTTAAATTATTTCAATTATTAATGAAAACAATATATATTAACGTAATTTCATAAGTCTTCATAGTGTGATTCTAAAATTATTTTCATTTTTGGTGCCATGAAGGATAGGGATTGATGACTTGAAGAAAATGGGTGTGTGTTCTGCAGACTAATCGTTAGCAATTCACAGTTCATATATGAACATTACGTTAATATTATGCTATCCATATGATCCGACCATTCTATTTCAGCTACTGTCGCTACGACTACCGGTAATTATTTTCGTAGTCATGAATTTTTCTGGAAAACTGTCTAATCGATTACGTTGTTTAGCATATTACACATTATACTGTACTTGACCGCTGTGTCACTGAATTCTATTCTACTGATTTTAAATATTTTACAGGTTATCTCGACAATTTCTTACTATCTTAGTTGTTTCATAGAACTATGGCCTCATATATTTTCGCCTAACAACGTTTTGTGCCGACCAGTAACAAAACGGAGCTTAAGTCATTTGGTGTCTTTCGAGGCACTGATTAAAGATACCGATTAAAAGTTTAAAAGATAGATTAGTGAATAAGGAATATTCCTTTGGCCAACGTCTTCATCAGGTTCTACAGTTACATATCCTTAATAATGAAAGAATAACTGTGATTGACTACATTTATATTTTTCATGTGTTGGTTTTTATTGGGACTTTGTTTGGTTTGTTGAAGGATTTCATCATGAGCAGACATCAGTTAGAGAATCACTTGAAAACCTGCACTGGAGTACTGGACAGTTGCTTCATCAACATAGTTTTGAACTCTTCACCAGTAGGCACCCAACATGGGGTTACAATTCAGGATCTTATGTTAACAAGGCGAACTTGTATATCATTCAGCTACTGAAACCCAATCCAGTAGCTAGTTTTTTTTCTGCCAATTGGAGGTGAGGCAGTAAGTCATCGAAGAAGACATTGCGAAGTGGTTACGCTATGTCATTGATTGGTAGAAGTTGGAATTCATCGATGGTGGTTTGGTCGGGTCCCAATGACCTAATGGCCCACGAGCTAGCTCGTTCGCCTTGTAACCAGAAGGTCCTGAATTCGAACCCTGGCGGTGGGTGCGTACCTCTGAAAAATCTAAAACTAATCTGACGAAACAGTTGTCCAGTACTCCCTGTGGCTGGTTTTCCAATGGTTCTCCAACTGATGTCAGCTGATGATGATGAAATCCTTCAACCATTCAAACATTCATGTTTGTCAAAAGTAGCATCATATCAGTGAATTGGAAATTCTAAAAGTTACTTGCAATTAGATTGTTTATAGATTACAGTCCAAAATATATGTGTATGCGAGGTAATAAGCAGAAATGTAATACAAAATTGAACACCGATATTACAAAGTAAATGATTATTAATGAATTCTCATGAGTCGTGTTCATATTAAATTATATTCATATTGGTTATAAACTTCATATGGATGAATGAAAATCTCAAGGATGTGAGAGAAAAATCGGGGTAGAAGGTTTTGCGCGCTGAGTGCATGCCAGTGTGTAAATTAACGGCTACTGTGAAATACGATAACAAAAGTTTAGTTTATGGAAGTGTGATAATAAGGGGTAAGGATACATATATATATATACAGAATGGAGGGCTATACTTAAAAAGTCGAGGTATTTATGAATTTGTAGATTCCACAACAGACCACGAAGGAACTGGTGGTTGAAACTATTTTTCTAGACACCGCACACTGGTTTTTTTCAAGCAGTAGCCTCTGCTGTTGTAGCATTTAGTTCCTGGACGCTTTCATCTATCTGTTTGATAATCGATAGAGGTTGGAGATTCTTCGATGCTAGTCTGCTGAACCAGGTGGTATAATATCAAACTGCTGGTGGTTTACACTACACCTTTATTTAGACAGTGTGTTAGGTGTTTCTAGCGCAACGTGCAGTATAGATCGCTCCACGAGCGTAGCTGAATTGACAGATAAAAAGAAGAGGTAGCTAGCCTCGGCACTTCATCTTTTGATTGAAGAATCACAACCGGACATGTGGAAAAGATGACTTGTAGTCTCCCAGCGTTAAATGATCTTTAAATGAATATTTTAAGCTGTTAGTAATTATTTCAACAGGCACGTCACCCTTGAACTGCAGTCATATATATAAAGGCTACTTATTGAAAAGTTGAGAAAGTCTCTTTTATACTTTCTTGGTCATGTGTTTCCTGATTAATTTCTCAGTAAATTTATTCCTTTCACCTTATTTTGAATTTTTAAGTTTCGACGAAACCATCTGAAAAAATTAATCCGTACGTTGCTGATATTTTTTTGAAAGAGTAATTATTCACGATAAGACCGAGTACTCTTTAGTATTCAGACTAGTGTATTTTACCAAGTATCATCGATAATTAATGATTCCTGCCTATGGTCATATCATGCTACCGTTTCGGTGCTATGAAACAACAGGCTAGGCTGCCCGTTTTTCTTTGTTTGACTTGGCTTCAAGTCACTATATATCTGGCCATTATTTGTAATGATAACTACGTCTTTTAATATTGAGCACCAGTCAGTAGCCAGTGTAATGTGTATAGTTCTACCTTTAGTGAAGACTGAATTCTATCATTCAAGTTTGTCATGTGGCCACCATGCTACTAAGTGGCTCGCCACCATGGTGCACTGTGAATCGTTGTTATTAGATGGTTGAAGGTAGTCAACAGGAGGATTTGGACCTATTCTTTACCCTAGTTGGCAGTCAACAGTCAACAAGGCGTATCTGCTACCTCGAAGGAACTCATTTCTATTCAGAGATTCAAACTGGTGTCATTCATTCATTGCTGCAGTCAGAGGCGTCATTAACCTCCAGCTGGACTGTACTGGATATTTCAGATTGAACACCAGTCATTTTGGGTAAAATTTATTTTGATGAAGTCTCACAGTGTTATCCAGTAATATATATATACTGATGACCACACACTCACCCAACTTTCTAACTTCGTTTAAATAATCCCGTTATTTATTCCAAACATGGCTTGACTTGATTGGTAGTAGTATTTTGCATATTTCCGTTATAAGTGATGAGTCACTCCTATTGCATGTGTTGGTATAGACTCGATGAACAAGCATTCAGTAATCAAGCTCTCTCTATCCACCGACCTGGATTACATTTTGGAATTTTAACCTTCTCCCACCCCCTATTGTATAGTTGTGTGTGTTAATGCATGCAGTGCAACTGCTGAGCTTTTTCCCAAATTACTTCTCTTCGCGGGTAGGGTCAAACATTCTAACGATAGATAAATTCTTATTTTCCGACAATCTGACTACCCCGACCTATGATTATGACCAGTAATAAATTGTGCTCGAAACTTGTTCATCAGTAAATATTACTGTATAACAACACTGTGAGACTTTTTCAAAATAAATTTTATCTACAATGAAATTATACTCTACCACCACAGTGCACAAGTTCTATTCTTATATCAATGGACACTAGACAGTGACTAGCGTAATGTGTCTAGTCCTATCTACATCTTCAAGAATCTCTAAGAACAGGATGAGAATGCCATCCAGTTTGAAATTTCAAAAATTATAATAAACTCGGCGAAATCCACCAAACTTTCCTTCAGAAGTTGTAATCATTCATGCCTTAAAATTTATGATACCAAAAATAGGCGAAAAGTGGATGATAGTAAATACTACAGTCTGATTTATATTAATATTTGAAAGGTATTCAGCTAAAACAGCAGTGCTTGCTAACCCGATAAAACTGACCCAAAGGTCTGACAGCCATCTCATCACTGGGTTTTTTTGGCATAGCATATCAGCGATGCATCCAGTTGAAACTTGACCATCATTTTATGAGGATTTATTGCAATAAACAGCCTTCGATAAGTTAATCAGTTTACTCCAGAATACATGAAAATGTAAGAGTTTGAAATCATGTTAATAAAACATAATGTTTTATGTACACGTAGTTTACGTTTCACCTCGCCAGGTTCTTATTCTCGTGAATTGCAAAGTCTTCTCCTACAAGTGACGAAAATATTGTTGAACGACTAACCGATTTGCGTTTCCGACACATTCTGTCTCTAACTCCGATAGCATATTTTAAAGTCATATAACACTTACCTTGAAAACTGACGAAATTATTAAATCCATGCTTTAACCCATTAACTTTATATCAATTTTAACAGAAATGAACCAGGCTGGAAGTAAGCTCTTTTTCTACTTAAAACTTATACGAAAACTGTTTCCGTATCAGTGTCATTGTTCTCTCAGAATCAAACGAGTTTGATGCATTTTTCATTGGTATGTGTGTAAGAAACTCTTAAGGAGTCACATAGCCAATCAGCAATTTATTTTCCCACTAATATATGATGGAAGAATACCCTCTTCTCTTCCAGTAAAATTGTTTTTGCATATTGAATAACACTTATGGTGTTCTCAGCATCAAATTTCTAACTCGAATGCAGCTAATGTGAACCTTATTTTTACTTGGAAACGTTGGCTAATTAACTGGTTGTGATTAGATTAGCCGAAGTAAATGGCGATAAATCGAACGTCGTGCGACATCACACGCCAAGCTCTCGAGTTGGATCTGAATAGATAAGACAGTGTAAGCTGGAGGTTAAAGCTTATGGGGCATGTGTGGGGCTAGCTAAAGAGGAATTTAGGAAATTATCGGCAATCTATTAACCAGCGATTCCTGTACTTCCTGTTTCGTAAGCCTACAAACAGGTTCATCCACTACCTTTTGGAGAGGGGGTTTCATCATCTTAATTTTTAACCAATGATTCCACTTTTTACCACATAACAATAACTCGCCAATTACATCATGTCAATCACAGAAGTACTGGTGTTCGTTTAATATCCTCGTGAGATCAAATCCGCCCAAAAAATGCTTTGAATTTCAATCTCTCTTAATTAATATAATCGTTCGTTTATTGAAGAGTTTTCAAGTGTCTATGTGTACCTTGTGAAAAGCAATAGTCGAGTACACTCATAACCTTTAAACATTGCTATTGTTATTCATTTTCCTCATTCTAGTGAACCATTATGCCTCAACAACATGTCTTCATTCTATTGGGTTCTCAGTAATCGCTTTAAGATGACTCTACAACTGACCACAAAGCTTCGTTACTTCTTCAGATGTCTTTCCCAACATAAAACCAGACAGCTAACACACTCTCGAGGGTCTCTTCAGCTTTTTTCTGATCCATCTACCAATTCCTTATGGATATGTGTTGAATAGTAGATAGCTGGGTGTTTCACTGCCTGGCTTTATCTTCAGATATGATATGAAGGCAGGGATTAATGAAAGTTTGAAGTTGTTCATCAATGCTTTCAGTGTCGCAGGCATCAAGTTTTATTTCTTCTGCTAAGTGCTGTGGATTTTACACCAAATATCTTCACATTTTGTGAGTGTAACTGGATTGACCAGATACCGAAGTTTCATTTAACCAACTCCTGGTCACATTCTGAAAAATTTCCAATTTTTCGTCATTTTTCTCATTATTTGCAATTATAACTAGCAGAGTGTATGCATTCTGAATCTTGTTTTCTTGTTTTTAAATTTAGAACAGCTTTGAGGTGGATAAGGTAAATTTCTGATCTGAATTATCGTTTAGAATGGTGAACAGATTTATTTCATGTGATTTGGATAAATGTTTGGAGAAGATCACATTTTTGAGTATGTGAAATTCGAAACCAGAATAGGATTTAAGTTTTGAAATGAGCGTTTCACATGCATAAATAGTGGAGACATGGCAGGTCACTGTAAGAGTTCCTAAATATCATGAAAAATCGCAAGCGATATTAATGAATATTTGAGGTTTTCACTGGATTATCTGGGATTATACTTCTAATTTCACAATCGGAATTTAAGAAGGTTATTTACGGATTTCTCATCATTCATCATTAGCTAAGGAAGTGGAATGTTTAACCAATATGAGTAGGTACAATTTACAAATGATTAATGCGAGGTCGACAATCTCAAACAAACCATCGAAGTGTTTCGAAAATGTTGGGAATTATCCTCCTGTTTTCAGGAAGTAATCAGGCTCCAAAGCTTTTTAAATATATCAAGTTCATTTTCTTGTAAACAGGGGATTTAATGAACTCGCTCGACCTTTATCTGAGAGGCAGTGTATAATTCAAAGTGATTATATACTCCCCTTTTGTCAGATTTGTCTCTGGAATAGTATTTAGACAAAAAAACTAGGCGACAGTGTTTTTGATTGGACACAAGTCAGTAACCAGTGTAATGTGTCTAGTCCCATCATTGGTGCAAACGGAATCCTATCAGTCAAGTTTGCAATAATGCGACCATTCCAGGTAGCTCACCATCACGGTGTACTGTGAATTATTGTTATTAGATAGTTAAAAGCAATCAGCAGACAGTCTTGTACACCACCTAGATTTCGTGCTGGTTGGCACTCACCAGTTAGCAAGGCGTATCTGCAACCTTCAAGGAACTTATATCTCTTCTGAGATTCGAACGTTCTTCATCCCATTGCTGTTGTCAGATATGTTACCACTGTACTATTTCGGCTTGAGAATGACCTCTAGTAGGATTTGATCGGGTATTACGGATTGGACACTAGTCAGTATCTAGTATAATGTGTCTAGTACCATCTTTGGCTACAGTGTCTTGTCAGTAAACATGACACGACAGTAGAGCGTAATCAGGAATGTTGCCAAGTAACAGACGACCATTAGGAATGTCAACGCATATTCCTGTGTGATTGACTGTTCTCTACTTTATTTCTTTCTTTTCTAGGAAAACTCTCACTGCCATGTGGTAAGTCAACAAATGATCAAACATATTCCAGTTCGAATCATGGATTTAGTAGTCACCTGATATTAAACAAACATAAGTCAACTTGCTAACAGAAATCTCCGCTTGTGTATTCAGAAACAGTTAGAAATGTCTATCTATGTAGTCACGCATGGTGTGGACGTTCCATGTCCCCATCAAAGAATTTTTCTTTTGATACAAGAAGACTCATTGTACTGAAATTTCTGTAACAGCTTTGTTTACAGTGCAGGGTTGCTAGCCTTACGCCTGAGAAGAGGGTTGTTACATGTATGTAAAATTGACAGAGGAGCAAACTGACGGGTTACTCCCCTTAGAATAAGGAGAACAAGGAACAAAGCAATCAGAACAACACCAAGAAAAGGAAAATTTAAAAATTCACAACAGGAAGGGCAGCGATAACAACAATAAAAAAAACCACAGAAGCAGTATCACTGTCAAGTACATTTGACAAAAGTGATATCAAAACCATAGACTCACTGACTTGAGTCAACTTGGGTATGTGAATCTAACAACATATACAATTGTATTATCAGTCAACAAGATTATATCAACAGATTCAGTGTTTTGGTGGTAATCTAATTACAATAAATTCCACAACTTTCTGGTCAGAAACACGAAAGAAATGAGAGTTTATGCAACTAAGCAAACGTATCACAGCGAGGAAACATGCATAAAATGGCCCAACCGAAAATCTTGGAGGATCTGGACTTCGTTGATGATATATGTCTGATTTCCTATAAACTGGAAGATATGCAAATGAAAAGAGACGCCTTGTCAGAAGAAATATCAAAGAGAGGACATCAAATGAACGTAGAGAAAACAGAGGTGATGAAGATTACTGGTCAACAGCAACAGCAATAACAGACAACAATCAGTATAAATGGGAGAAATATGAAAGAAGCAACTTCCTTTAACTACCTACAGGCGAACGGAACTGATAGGGATATCAGAGAAAGGATCGGGAAAGCAAAACTAGCTTTCATTCCTGTAAAGTCTGTGTGAAGGTTGACAGCATTCAGCCTGAAACCTAAGATCCAGATTTTCAACTCTAATGTTAAGTTAGTGCTACTTTATGGATCAGAGACTTGGCAAGTCACGAAAAGCACTTCACATAAACTACACACCTTTATCGACAGCTGTATTCGCTCAATACTTAAGACCGGATGGTCAGGAAAGATCGGTGACAGGGATCTTTAGGAGAAGAGAGAACCAACCAACCAGGAACTAACTGTGCAGCAAATATGCAGGAATACATGAAGGCGGACTGGCCATACTGTGAGAAAACAAACCATCAAGCGAGTGACATCACACGCCGGACCATCCCTCGAATGGGGAATCCGAATTGAAAGGGGCAAGTTCGTCGTCAGTGTGAGGGTGACGTGGAAGAGGGAATGTGAAGAGAAGATGGAAGCATGTAGGCAGATGTGGAACCAGGTCAAACCGTGACAGAGAATCAGAGGCAGTTCAGGCGTTCGGCTGAAGCCGTATGTTCCTCTAGGAATTAAAGGAAACAATAATATAATATGATAATCTATGTAGTCCTAAGTGACTAGTGTCATGGTGATCAAGAAATCTTTGAACTTAAATCGAAAATCTCTGTGATTTAACCCTAGAGTAACATGTAAAGGAGATAAGTTCAGGTATAAATAAAACTTCACAGTTGGCCATTGAAATCAATAGCTAGTGTGGTGGAATAATAAAGCCATGACATACTGTGGCGTAGAGACCAAACCTGAGGTTTTTTGGTTTCAATGAAAGAAACCAAAATTTCTGTTCCACTATGTAGGTAACCAAAACTTCTTTGAGTTATGCACACTCCAAAAATATCGAGACGATAGTGGAAACATAGCTATTTGCCATAAAATCTGTGGAGTAATTAACCTCTTCCTGAGGCTATGACATGGTTTCACCATCTACCTTCGGGTAATCTTTAAAAAAACACCCTGAAGCAAAGCCCTGCTCAATTCACGAAGTCTTCCAAAATAGGCGATTCAGTATATTGCGCAATTTTCGATAGTCCTACGAGGATAGAAACATGACGCACTCTTCGATAGCCTCCTCGGCCTAACATTTACCATTTTATAACAAGTAAAAAAGATATTACCCATCGTCCTTCACTGAATTATAAATCCTGTTTCTGCCTAAAATCATGTAAAGCTACTCTAGAGTTATATCTTATATGATCAATAACTAGTCTGAAAGGAGATCCATGAAATGAAAATGCATCGAGAATTACTTGCCGTTTTTCTGGAGGTACATCTGAGGGTGCCACATTTTTTATTTTTTTTAAATTTTTGATTTACAGCTTGATTCCACACTGTATTTTCGGTACAATTATGGAATTTTCAGCATGGATATCGGTAGCCCAAATTTTGCAGGCCGACCATAGATATCAGGTGTGCGTCGGTGCGGGCTCAAACCCCGGACCATGTGCATGGTCGGTGAGAGTCCTAACCACTCTGCCACCGACGCACATTCTTCTTCTCCACAGCAGTTCCTGTAGTCGTCTTCCTTGTGCATTTGCTAAGCATACTGCTTATCTGTGTTAAGTGATTCATGGATGAAAATGTTACACAATGAATCACTGGCACACTCTTTCAGGAAAATAGTCATGAATTTCAACACTGTGTCTCATCCTTTAATTGATGCATTTTTCAATGTATTTTTTCCTCACTAAATTTGATCATTTAGCACACTCAATACTTACCTGTGAGTAACAGAAATCTGCATTTCTCTAGTGATTGTTATTTATTCTAGTTTATATTACCATATATATTCCTAATCCTGTAGAATAGATGTAAATTTGTTCCTATGGGAATTCATCAGGAAATTTACTTATTTGCTATCATATACTGTTAGTGTGAATACTTGTAGATCTGAAGCTAGTGATCACTCTCTCATGGCATTTTCCTTCAAAACCCATCTTTAACAAAACATTTGTCTTTATTCATAAGATTTCTAGTCAGACATCTTTCTTCAAGCTTAGTCAGAACTAATCTTCTTCATTCCATAGTCGGTTAGCTTATGACAGTGTCTAAAAAAAATTGGCCTGATCAATTTGGCTCGTGATAAGCATCCATGAGTCTACCAGATATTTTCAGGTTGTAGGTGACAATCTCCGTGAGTGCTCACTGATGACGAGTCTCATACTAGGACGAAATAATTGTCCAGGGGTCACTGGTTTCAAAAGGTGACCTAACTTATATCAATCCGTCACCAAACTTGAAAATAAATCAAATCCCTACAAACTAACTTTTCAAAATTAATCTGATACAAGTTGCGGGAGGAAGTCGCCTAGAGTTCTAGTGGGAAGACGTGATCATAAGAGGTACGTCCGGCAAGGAGCGAGAATAATTACTGTCCGCCGATATTGGCTGATTGGGTGATTGGGTGGAAGTTAGAGGGTATGTGCTATTGGACTGGGGTCTCATTAGCTGTAAGGTCTACGAGCATGACTTGTAACGATAAAACAGTGAGTTCGAACCCCAGTGAATGCTTACCGGTGAAGAATCCAAAACTAGGAGGAAAAAACGGCTGTCCAGTACTGTTGTCGATTAATCCCTACAAGGTAACTCTTGAAAAAGCTTTCAACATCCACTCACTTGACTGCCAATTTGTCATGCATAGCTCTTTCAGAGTAATATCTGCGCATTCTAAATGAGATTCCTGGGTTTCAATGCATTAACAGATCATTAATGAATCATAGATTAATTTTTCGCTCTATTTCACATAAATTTATATAGTCTTACCGCCAGAAATTAACATTTGTTTTTATATATATTTGACTGTTAATTTTAATAGCGCCTACCTACCATGGTACTAATCAACTATGGCAGTGTCAGACATATAATGGATTTATACACACATATACATTTTGTGACATTTTTTTCCTGTAATTTGTAATCCTCTAATTAATTTAATTAATAAATTTCATCTTTCACACGTATGTTGATTGTTTTAAATAACAATTAATGACTTGAGTGATTATTGAAACTATTCACACACAGTAAAACTCAGTCTAATTGTTCAAATATTTAGGAATGCTGAAAATCAGATCGCGGGGTAACGCTACCAAAAACCTGGAAGTTTTAGGCAGTCGACGCCATATAAGCCAGGAATGATTTATCCTCGACTCAGTGGTCACCAGGATTGTGAGTCAGCAGGTTTGACGATCACATCAGTGGTTTAGTGATAGAATGCTCATAAACTAAGCGCATGGTCGGGGGATCAATCCTCAGCCTACGCACTCCTCAGCCTCTCTAAGCCTGTAATAAGGCCGGTAAAGATAGAAGGTGGGGCATGCGGTTAGCTAGCAACCCCATCGCGTAAAAATAAAATCAATATAACAGAAACTTCAAAGCTCTGACTAATAGATCAATGTTCCATTAGGAATGTAAATAGAGTTTGGCGACTACCTTAGTAGACTTCAGAGATGAGACGAAGTCAATCAAAATTAGCGCTAAGAATCAGATAGTTGATCACTGAAAGCTGTCTAGGCGACAATCAATGTTGTCATAAGATGCCATAAAAATAAAATAACTTCATATATATATTGTTTCGTTTTTGTATACTACTTTGAAGAATATAAGTATTAGCCTGAATTTAAAAAAAGGAAAACTTTCAGTTTAGAGGTCAACAGTTAACATTGAGGAGAGGACAACAGATATACATGTAATCCCAGGTTGTCATTTTGTAAACGCAAGTTAATTCCATTTCATCTTTACTACTGAAAAGTCAATTTATAAATCATATGCTTATTATTATGTATTATTTTATTCATTTACATTCCCAGTGGAACATAGGGAGCCTCCAAGCTACAGCTATGAAGTTTCAGTACCAGTAGAGTTAAATTTTACAGGACGGGGTTGCAAGCCTCATGCCCAGCCTTCCTTCTCTACCTGTCATATTACTGGCTTGTCGAGGTAAGAGTGTGCGTTGGCCGGGGATCGAACGCCGAACCATATGAGGCGTGGTTGACAAGCATTCTACCGCTCTGCCACCGACTCACACTTATAACTAATGCTACCAACAAATATACATGCAAACCTTTAGCAAAGAATTAGCTTCAGTTATAAATCATTGTTTATTTTCAAGGCTTGAAAGAGTGTCAGTGCACCGAATACATTTAGCGTCTCTTCTTATTCATTTATCACTGGCGGGGTGATCATTGTCATGTATAGAGTCTTTAGTTCTGGCTGAATTTGGTCGATTATCCTCTGATGTATTTCGCCATCATTCAACGTCTGTTTGTATAGGTCAAATATACTTGTCAATAAGAATGTCAGACAGGTCAAAATCAGGTCAGTAATTACCAAAGGATATCCGTGAAGATAAAGCCACTTATGTTTGCGTTAAATACAAATCAAAATCCAAGTGTATGGTTATAAATATCTAGGACACAGTCAACATTCGCACCAGTTGTCTCTGAATCACCAGTCCACTACTCAACCAACTGACCTATTGAAGATAATAAATACAAGCTTGTAGTAGAAGAACAGGACGCCTTTCCTAAATGGTATATTTTGTACTTTGAACTGACCCCATGCTTTGAAATTTTGCTCCACTTTTAACAACCTGACGATTCAGTTCAAAGGAGTACCCCTAACAGGTGCCTGTTATGGTGTATGCAATAATAATAATAATAATCTGCTTTATTCCAAAAACAGTACTTATAATACAGAATGGAATTCTCATCATTTGTCACAATATTCCATCTGATTTACTCAAAATAAAAACGAAATTAAAAATATAAATAAAATTAACCAGAGGAATTTGTACACATTTACAATATAAAGTCAAAGTATCCGAAGAACGAATTGAAAATATTAAATATAATAATAGTAAAAATAACAGTGGGTTTGTTTAAATTTTATTGTCCATTCAGTTTGGAAAGTTTAGCATGTTATAGACTATTGAATCTAAGGTTCTATTGAAATAGTTTGGTGAGAGAAAGTACAAAATTACCAGTTATAACAGCTTAAATGATGTTCGCACTTATCAAAAATAAACAAACAAAACAAAAAATTGAGAGGATTATAAATATAAAATGTACAATGACAATAAAGCTTGATTTTTCAAGGGTGGAGGAAATGGTTTATTTAGCAGTGTAAAGCAGGTTAGTTAGTTCATGCTCAACACCATTTCCATCGCATAAAGTATGTGCCAAATATAGTATAGTGGAATTTTTATACTTAGACGTATGTGCACATTGTCTCTTGAAAAGACTTCTTGTTTTACCTGAGGAGAACACAAGGTTGGAGCTGCGGGTAGAGTGGATGCTTACAGTCTGACAAAATTCCATTAGCGAATATGCTGCATGGTAGCAAGTGCCTGTCAATGACAATGTCAACAATATGGCCCAATGCAATAGGATACCACTCGCCCTACTGACTGACAGTCTGCAGAGTTCTACGAAGTATAACATAGTCTTTTTTAAGCAATCCTGGAAAGAATAAGAGTGAACAGTAAAGAAGAATAGTTCAGATGCAAGAGTTGATAAAGTCTAAGAGGAGGAGTTGGGTTACGCCTGAGTGCCTTAACTTCTTAATGTAAAAAGTCAGACGAAATATTCTTTTAGAAATCGGGAAGACATGTGGAGACCAGGATAGATCAGAAGGAAGAATTAATCCAAGATACTTAACTTCCAACTTGGTTTCTATATCATTATCATCAATTTTGCATCGGTCATTTAACTTTCTATTACATTGGAAATTGAAATTAGTGATATTGCCGTTTATGTGACCTACCAGAGTACAAGCAATAAGAAGTACATTCAGCAACGAAAAGTACTCTAACTGTCAAACCCACTGTTCAAGCAGAATCACAATTATGTCATTTAAAAGCGAAAACATGAGGGTAGAACTTGGACATTGTGGCGGAATGTAATTCCATGTTAAATAAGTTTATTTCAAACATCACACAGTTATGATGCAGTATTAACAACTGGATGACATGGTTACGAGGATAAATTATTCCCACTTATAATCATATAGATTTAGTTACATGGCTTCGTAATCTGTCTTATATATGCAGTTTCGCTCTTTCTGCCTTTCTCTCTTCCTCTCTGACTTCGTCTTGTTTTTTGTTCCCACTTTTCATACCTTCCGTACAAGTGGTGGGCCATTGCGCCATTCCGATTGCACTTGTGCTATGTTGAATCGATAAACAAAACTTCAGGGATGAAACTCTCTGTCTGCACACCCAACTATACTACTTTTTAATACTTTCACTCTGTTTGACCCACCTTCTGTATCCAGTGCATCTTTTATTCTTTTCAGAATGACGTGACGTATTATTGTACTCAGAGTGTTCAAGACAACTATTCCACGCTGGTCAGTTCTTGCAGAGGCCTAACTCGCCCATTTTTGCTGTCTTGACAAGGTAGCCAGCCTTCCTCCCAATCGATAGGCAGACAACTTTCCTTCCTTCTAAACATTTTGCAATAATGGCGTAAGCAGCACAGCTGCCGCAGTCTCTGCGTCCGTTTAAGTGCTTCGTGGGGTGGGGAAATTTCGTCTGATCCTGTTGCCTTCCGAACTTCAGTAGCTTGATCACATTTAGGATTTCTGTTTTCGTTGAAGGATCGGTGTCCACTGGAAGGCAGGTCTGTGCGTGATGTTGGTGGTGTTGGTGTTACTACTGGGCTAGTGGCAGGTGGTGGTCGACTTAAGAGTCCTTTGAAGTAATCAACCGATTGTTTTGTCTTCTCCCCCTCCTACTTGGTAGCTAGGTACCCTTGAACATCTTTTATAGGTTTAATCTGAGTATATCTCTTTCCATATAGACAGCCAGTTATCTGACATGGTTTTCTTTCACGAAGGTTATAAAATGAATAAACACACAACGAATGAGTGAAAATGGCTAAGCAGCATGAAGTTACTTGCCTAATTTCAGTAGAACAGTCGACAAAATTTGGAGTACATACCACTTAGAAACACTAAGAAATGGTTTTATCCCTTAGCCCCTTTTTTGATTCTTTAAATTCCCAAGGGAACATAGGGTAGACACTTCAAGCCTCTAGCTTGAAGTTTCGTTAACAGCGGTGTTTAATTTTACAGGATGGGGTTGCTAACCAGCCTCATGCCCAACCTCCCATCTTTACCAGACTTACTACTGGCTTAGCAAGGTAAGGGTGTGTGTCTCCCGGGGATCAAACCCCAGCCCTTGGCCTTGCAGGATACAAATTGGAGATATGCTTTCAGTAATAATTCATTTAAAAAGTTGATTTGTTCCTCAAATTGTTGAAGTCTCTCTCTACCTTGGTAATTTCATCAATAAATTTGCTCTGGTAATTTATAATACGTGTCATGAACATTAAGTAAACAAGAAATCTACCGAAATGAGTTTAATTGTATGATGGTGATTGTGTATTTTGAAAACATCAGGCAGGATTTTTGTATTTTCAAACTTCAAGCTATGCTGAACAAGAAAACATGACTGATAAAATGTTGACAGACGTGAAATAAAAAACATCTTATGATACGTGATAATTGTGCTTAGTTAGACTGACAAAAAAACATTGATAAAATGCGAAAAAAATAATAGTACTGTTGAATTTACTCCGTGAAAATCTTTCTATGTGAGCTCAGAATGCAAGCAAACAGTCACTTCTTAAATAGCATTATTATTAATCATAATCATGTATATATATAAACTTGAAGGGAATTGTCCAATTTACTTAACTAGACGGTGGGCATAGTTTCAACTATTGGCTATATAGAGGATGATTTCACGCCAAGGATAGAGAAAGTAACAAAAGACTTCATTAGACAAATGTCAGTTTGAAGATTTGCAGCCTTCAGTATAAACGGTAAGATTCCAATTTTTTGAAATTAACGTCAAGTTAGTGTCTATGGAGTTTTAACAGCATTTGCCTCCAGTTGATACGGAAGATTATAAGGCTCTCTAGATAGGATAAAGAAGGCACCCTGGAATACAAACAACCAGCTGACAGTATTGTACTCTGTATATACATATACACGAGGAAACACAATTGGATTAGATAAAGCAATAAGAAGACGTAATTTGTCTGAATCGTGCGTGTATTGTATTTGCTCGTGCAACACATTTCGAACAATCTGATCACACACGGACTTGTCATAGGAATATATATTTAAAACTAATAAACAGTTAAGAGGTGAGAAAATAGACAAGTTAAATCAAGTTAAAAAGACATATTCAAGGTCACAACAACAATGAAGACCACTAAACCAAATAGCAGAGGTAATAGTACATCTGCTTTGGTATCAAAACCAAAATTTACCAAGAAAGGTTTAATGTGATGACGAATTATTGCTTTGAACGTATAAAGGTGGTTTAAACTTTCTAATCAGCAGCTAGGGCTTCCACAAATTTTAGGATAAGCCCCAAACACGTTTTAGAGATAGGTTTATAATATATGTTAACGTCAATTTTATGTCCTGTCTCTAAAACATGTTCCGCAAAAGAAGAGCTAGGTTTCCTGTTCTCACCATTTATGACTTGTGAAGATTCCATTTGTTTTGGAGCAAATTAGGAATATGTTCTGAAGGCAAGCCTTACATGCAGAGATCAATGATTTCTCCCTATGTATGTGTGTCCACATGTACATTCAAATTGGTAAATACAGTGAGATATGACATTATTTTCCGCATGTTGTGAGCGCTTAGATGGATATCAGCTACACATTCTCAATTATTATGATCTCAGCTGCATGAAAAGTCTTTTTAAACACAGTAGAGTTCAATCTTCGTCTAGTTTTCAAGCTGCTTTGATGCCTTATACAGGGTAGCTTGATGTACACATCTTTCTTAGGGGCGAGTTTGAGAGTGCGTCTTGGTGTTCTGACTACTTTTATCTCCTGATGAACTTGTCTGGATAATTGTTATCGGCCAGAGCTTGTGTTAACTTTCTTTCTTCCTCAGTAAGTGTGTCTGTCTTCAATGCATATTCATTGGATTTTACTGAAGAGGCACGTCGCTCACTAAGGCCCTTTTGTACCGTACAGGGCAGAAACTGTGGTAATTAAGATACTGCCCTGTCCAGGTAGGTTTTCTATAAATAGATCTTTTTATTGACCCATCAAGCCATCGACTAAGCAATATGTCTATGAAAGATAAACAATTATCTTCCTCTTCTAAAGATGTAAGTGATATGCTATTCTGAACTTGATTCACTCGATTTAAAATTGAGGTGGCAGAACAAGACTTATCACTGATGATTACAATATCATCTACATACCTTCTGTAAAGTGCACATTTTTGACTAAATCCTCCGATAAATTCTCAATGTACGACATATAAATACCTACTAAAAAGTGTGCTAACGGACTTCCCATAGCAACACCATCAACTTGACGGAACAGATAGATTAGTCATACTCCTAAAAGACTGTTGATTGATATATTGCTGTTGGCCCATAAGTGGAACTCTAATGTGAGATAGAAAGTTGGAATTGTGTATGAGGATAACACATGGGGAAGAACATGTATGGAGGTAATTAAAGGGTCTGAATAATCGAAGAGCTTGTCAACTTAGTCATTTTACATTATTCCAAAGTCGTATAGCCTGTAGACAGTGACCATAGAAAAGATGTGCTATGTATGCTGTAAGCTTCTATGGTAATAGATGGTTAGAGGCATTTGACAAACGGCGTTGGATCTAGGTTTAATGCTTGTTGGCACTCGATATTCAGCATGGCGTATCTGTAACCTTGAAGGAACCCATATCCCTTCGAAGATTCGGACCCATTTCACTCAGTGCTGCAGTCGGAAACGTTACTACTAAGATATTCTTGTTTGAGACAGACCTCCTGTAGGACTGAACTGCACATTTTTGACTGAACAAAGTCATTAACTGGTGTAATGCAACTAGTCGTATAACTATTGCAGACTGAATCCTACCATTCAAGTCCTCCTAAGGTTGTAGATGACCAGTAAGTCTTAAATATCAGTGAACCTAGGTCCAA